CGCCATGGGGGTTTTTTCCCCAATTTTTCGGGGAACGGGGTGTCGGGCTCTTCTCTGCTCCCTCTCCCGATGATTATTCCCGACACAACGTCTGACGATCCGCCGGGATCTGAAGACAACGTCCTGCAATTATGACGGGAGAGGAGAACGGGAGAAGCGCCGGCGGGGCTCCGGCTCGGCTTTTTTGGGGCGTTTTGGGCTGAATCGGGGCAGAACACGGCCGGGATTTGCCGAGCTGGGTGTCCACGAGCGATAAATTCATCCCGATTTCTCCCTAAATCCCTCTTCGGAAGGAGAAGAGGAGCGATGGCTCTTTTTCCTCCAAATATTTGATTTTTTTTTCCCCCTTTGGGCAGAATTTCCATCTGGAATTTCCCCATTTTTTCCCCCCTTTGGGCAGAATTTCCATCTGGAATTTCCCAATTTTTTTGGGCAGAAGTTCCATCCGGAATTTCCTCATTTTTTTCCCCCATTTGGGTGGTATTTCCATCTGGAATTTCCCTGTTTTCTGGGTGGAATTTCCATCTGGAATTTCCCTATTTTTTCCCTGCCTTTGGGTGGAATTTCCACCCGGAATTTCCCCGTTTTTTTCCCCCCTTTGGGCAGAATTTCCATCTGGAATTTCGCCATTTTTTCTCCCCTTTGCGCAGAATTTCCATCCAGAATTTCTCCGTTTTTTGGGAGGAATTTCCATCTGGATTTTCCCCGTTTTTTGGGCAGAATTTCCATTGGAATTTCCCCATTTTTTCCCCCATTTGGGCAGAATTTTCATCTGGAATTTCCCCATTTTTTGGGTAGAAGTTCCATCCGGAATTTCCTCATTTTTTCCCCCCCTTTTTGCAGAATTTTCATCCAGAATTTCCCCTTTTTTTGGGCAGAATTTCCAACGGGAATTTCTCAATTTTTTCCCCCCTTTGGGCAGAATTTCTATCTTTAATTTCCCCGTTTTTTGGGGCTGAATTTCCATCTGGAATTTCCCCATTTTTTCCCCCCTTTGGGCAGAATTTCCATCTGGAATTTCCCCGTTTTTGGGGTGGAATTTCCATCCGGAATTTTCCAGGTTTTTTGCCCCCTTTGGGTGGAATTTCTATCTGGAATTTCCCCATTTTTTCCCCCCCTTTGGCTGAAATTTCCCCATTTTTTTCCCCCCTTTGGGTGGAATTTCTATCTGGAATTTCCCCTTTTTTTGGGTGGAATTTCCATCGGGAATTTCCCCATTTTCTGGGCAGAATTTTCCCCTTTTTTCCCCCTTTTAGGCAGAATTTCCATCCGGAATTTCCCCATTTTTTGGGCAGAATTTCCATCTGGAATTTACCTGGTTTTTTGGACGGGATTTTCCCCTTTTTTCCCCCCTTTTTGCAGAATTTCCATCCGGAATTTCCCCGTTTTTTTCGGCGGAATTTTCCCCTTTTTCCCCCTCTTTTTGCAGAATTTTCATCCTGATTTTCCCCATTTTTTCCCCGCAGCGGCACCACCACCCGACGCTTCGTGGGTCACACCAAGGACGTCCTGAGCGTCGCCTTTTCCTCCGACAACCGCCAGATCGTGTCGGGCTCCCGGGATAAAACCATCAAACTCTGGAACACGTTGGGCGTCTGCAAATACACCGTCCAGGTGAGGCGGAGAAAAAAATTTGGCAAAAATCCCGTTTTTCCAAAAAAAAAAAAAAAAAATTAAAAAATCTCCTTGGACGGGGTTTTAAATCCGCTTTGAGTCAGGAATTGGGGTCGATGGGAAGCGATCCGTCGCCTCCTGATCTCTCCGTCGGGGGGGTTTTGAGGAAAACAAGCGGATTTTGCGGGATGGAGGATGAAAACGGGGAAAATGTTGGTGTTTCCGCTCTCCCGCAGGACGAGAGTCACTCGGAGTGGGTGTCCTGCGTGCGCTTCTCGCCCAACAGCAGCAACCCCATCATCGTCTCCTGCGGCTGGGACAAGCTGGTGAAGGTGCAGCGGGACTTTTTTTTTATTATTTTTTTCCTTTTTCCTTTTTTTCCTTTTTTAATTTTTCCCATTTTTTTTCTTTTTTCTTTTTCTTTTTTTTCTTTTTCTTTTTATTTTTCTCTTTTTTATTTTTCTTTTTTTCTTGTTTTTTCCTTTTCTCTTTCCTTTTCTCTTTCCTTTTCTCTTTCCTTTTCTCTTTCCTTTTCTCTTTCCTTTTCTCTTTCCTTTTCTTTCTTCCTTTTTTCTTTTTGTTTCTTTCTTCTTTTTTTTCCTTTTTCTTTAATTTTTTTGGGTTTTTTTCATAATTTTTTTTCTTATTTTTTCTGTTTCTTTTTCTCTTTTTTTATTTTTCTTTTTTCCTGTGCTTCTTTAGTTTCTCTTTTTTCTTTTTCTTTTTCCCCCCCTTTCT